GGGCTGGGCTCTCCAGGGCCACCCCTCAGGCAGCCCACAAGGGACCAGGATTTGACATGGGGTGGGCTCATGGCCTGGCGACTCTCCCAGGCTGCTCTGTGCCAGGGGATTTCCCTGCTGGCAGCACCTAGAGCTGTAGGGCAGGAGTGCCGGGTGACGGGGAGTCTGCGCTGCAGGGGCCTTGGGTCAGGTCTGTGCAACTCCTGCATGATGGGGCTCCCCGGGCACCGGCACATGGCGAAGGACGTCCGGCAGGACACTGTGGAGAGAGCCGAGGACGGACTTTCATCCCACCTGGCAGGGAGGGGACTCGGGGGTCCCTGAGTAATTCTCTTTCCCCCAGAACACACATCTGGATATCACATCTGGGGGAAAAGGGGCTGAGTAGGCACCATCTGCGCAGACTGTACCGACCCCACCTGGCTCAGCGTCCGGGTGTCGCAGGCCCTGCGCACGGGGCGGGGCTGGGCGGGCCTTACCGATCCCACCTGGCTCAGCAGCTGCTCCTCGGCTTTGCTGAACAGCACCTTGCTCTGGATGGCGGCGATGGCTTCAGGGTGCAGCTGCCGCATGGCCTGACAGGCCAGTCTAGGCGGGGACAGCACGTCAGCTACCGACTCAGACTCACTGCTCCCCGGAGCCGCAATGGGGGGGAGGAGATTCCCCAGCCCCCCTCTGGGTGGGTGATCAGCCCCATTTCATGCAGGCCCAGCTGCCTCATAATGGGGCCCAGAGGCAGCCTGCCCTGACACAGCCCCACTGCCCCACAGAGAGCGGCCCAGGGCCTGGCACTCACTTGGAGATGACCGGGTCGTAGAGCAGCGCGTACCACCTCTCCTGGATCTCCCGCAGGGTAAAGCGGCAGCTGAACTTCACGCCCAGGTGGACCGAGGTCAGGTCGTTAGTCTGCAGGGGCCCAAAGAGAGGCCAGGTTTAGGGCTGTGTCCTCACACTCCCCCTACCCCCGCACAGCCAGGGGAACCAGCTCCAAACACACCCTGACAGCTAAGCAGCCAGCACTGCGGTGTCATGCGGCCACTTTGGGCACGACTGAACCGGAGCGAGGACAGCGCAGGTGTGCAGGAAGCAGCATGCCCTCAGCTAGGGCTGGAGTTTAAGACACCAGGACTAGCACCTCTGGGTGCCGCGGCAGGTGGCCAGACCTTGACAGAACAGTCTCCCCAGAGCCACAGGGCCAGGTCTGCTGGGATGTCTCCCAGGCATGCACCAGGCGGCCTGGCCCGGCTTGGCAGGGCGGAAGTGTCACCTGCAGCACGGCGTTGATGAGGAGCAGGTCATCCGCAGGCTTCCAGCGGCCCAGGTCCTTGGTCACCTGCAGGGGCTGTTTGCTTTTCTTCATCCGCTTGGGCAGGCTGGGGTTCGGGACCGGGCTCGGCGGGACGGGAGCGGAGCTGGACTTGGAGACCTGCATGAACCGGAAAAGGAGCTTAGAGCGCCCATGTGACTGGCCAGTGGGGCCCAGTGCTGAGACCATGAGGGGAGGCTGCAATTCACAGCTCCCAACCCGGCCTAGCCAGCCCCTCTCCAGCAGGCGGCTCCCTGCCCCAGCTCCCC